TTATTGCGTTACCATCCAACATGCTGATAAGCTACAGATGACCAATGTGTACAAGTCAAGCCATCTGCTGTTGCTGTCCACGAAAGAGAAGGCCAAAAGTCAAGGGGCGAGCTGATAGAGGGAGAGGCAGGTTGTCTCCTATTACTGCAACGATTGCCAGCACTCAGCCACACTTTTCATTCCCTTTGCTTTCTGTATAATTCCAGCACCTGCTACACAGCCCTCTGCTTTCCTCTCTCCCAGTACAAACTTTAGGCCTATTGTCTGACAAAGTGGGTACCAGGTATGTGCTTTTATCTGGTGGGAGTGCTGCTAGTGGACAACGAATGGCATGAAGCTGGTGGTGTTACTGTTGATCCGCCCAGTGGACAGCAAACAGCACCTGGGGGTCTAAACAAATTAACCCCCCTCCAAGTCAGTGGCTCACTGGATGATGCTGGGTCACATGAAGATGCATCCAGTTCAGCAACAGTATCCTGTAATAGCAGAAAAGGTCTTGAATAAATTTTGCTGCTGTCAGAAAAAATAAATATAAAAGAAAGTACTAAGAGCTTTATTTGGAAGAGCACAGCCCAGAGACAGTACCACTGTATTTAGGAGAAAAATATCTGAACAAAATAACAATTATGACTCGTGTTAAAGTTCCTGCATGACAATTTTTTTTTTACTTGCATGTATTTATTCTCTTGCTGGAGCCTTCCAATCCAGGCAGAACTATAATTACAATTAAACTTAGCAATTCAACATACACTGCTGTAGTAGATATTTAGCACTTTGAAAAATATATAAAACTCACAATAATGAACTGAAATCTGAGGCAACATTGTAACCAGAGTGTTATAGATCAGTTTTGTCATTATGTCATGTTTTGGTTGAGTTATCGAGTTATCCTTTCGGTGTTCTAACTTTCTTTGCACATATAGCTCATATTTAATGGCTGTCCTTTGTCAAAACAACTAAACTTGAATGATTTGTTGCTAGTTAGAAACAACAATTGGCCTGTGAAAGTTTGTTATATGAGAGTTTTTAGAGCTTGTTGTGCCTAGACGCTGTAACACAGCTTTATGGAGTGTTTAAATAATAGTTTGTTTTTTATTTTACAGGCATGAAATAGAAGTGAAGCAAATGAATTAACTTTGCTGTGGAGTAGGAATATGTCAGTACAGCCACATCTTTATTATAGTAAGTTAACAGAATGTCATCAGATAGACCTGCTATCCTGTGCTGTAGAGTAAATATCCAGGATTTTGCCTTGGTGGCACTGAGGAAGCGAGCCTCTACTCTGCTCTACTACTCTACAAGCCTCTACTGCCTCAAACATGGAGGGGGAATCAGAAAGCAGTCACAAAAACATCCATGTTATTGTTCACAAAAGTAGTTGATTTGTATACACAGCAAATGTAAACAAAGTGACTGTGACCACTTCTTTGCCTGATATATAAAGAAATGAGTTGAATTTAAAAGCTGTCTGTGGTGATGCTGATGACCTGCGGCTGCACTCTGTTCCTGTTGCAGCTGAAGAGCCAGGCTGCCCTCCAGTGGCGATAGCGCTTAGACAGCAGCACGTAGAGCACAGGGTTGACACAGGGGTGCAGGTACTGGAGCATAGTGCAAATAAAGTAGAACATCTCCCAGGCTGGCCCATGGTGATACAGCCCCAGATACACACACAGCTCCAGCACATAACCAGGCAGCCAGCACACTGAGAAGGTAGCAGCAGCCAAGAACACCATGACAGAAGCTCGGCGGGTGTTCCTGGCACTGGACACGGACATTACAGGGCTCTTGTGGAGAAAGAGAGCCAGGCGGACATAGTTGAAGGCGATGACCAGCATTGGAACAAAGTAGTAAAGTACAAACTGGCTTAAGACCACTTGGTAGTGGTGTTCATGAATGGTTGGAAGGCAGAAAGTGAAGTTTGCCAGGCTCGGGGTTATGCTCTCTTCTGTAGCAAACATTCGCAGCGGCAGGCTGATGAAGAAGCTGAGGGCCCAGACCAGGACAAACATGAGGATGACCAGGTCCATGGTGGGTGGTTGGTAGGGGTTGGTGATGATCATGGCGCGAGTCATGGACACAGCACAGAGCGAGTAGGTGCTGGCTGCCAGGCTAAAGGCCAGCAGGAACTGATAGACCTTGCAGGAGATGTTTCCCAGAGGCCAGGAGTGGCTGAGAGCAGAGTGCAGGGTTAAGGGGATGAGCAGGAGGGTGAGGAAGTCAGCCAGAGCCATGCTGAATAGGAGGATGTCGAGGCGGTTTTTACGTAACGTGTTATATTTGGCAAACAGAGAGAAGACCAGCAGGTTGGCACAGAGCCCAATGCCCAGGATCACTCCACAGGTGCAGGCAAAGATCAGCCCATAGGTATTGGGAGCAGCCATATTATCACCGACTTGACATCACCTTTTCAGTGGAAAAAAAAATCATAAATGTTTTGCATCAAACAGAATTTATATACAATTTTTATTTTTAGTTGTTTCAGTTATTTTTCCTGCCTTTTTAAAACCATTTTCTGACTTTTTGTAGACAAAACAACTAATTAACTAATAGGCAGATGAATAAGTAATTAATAATCAACACAATTGTTAGTTACAGCCTTTTTTATGTTATTTATATCTCTCAGTATTAAAGTAAGCTTTATTTTTAGCTTGGCCAAAATGCTTTTAGTAAATCAAATAGCATCTGTGAAGGCTTAGTAATCCCATGAGTGACAGAAGTATATCATTACATCAAATCACTGTCTGCTTTCAAAGACATGTTTAATGAATATTTTAAATGACTTGTGCTTTTACCTGTATTCCTACTAAATATAGTGATTAACAGGTACAGGTGTTTGTCTTATCACAGTTCATAGCCATTTTAAAATTGTGTCAAATCCGTCATTTTGACAAACTCACCATTTTGACGTTTCTCAGAGTCGTGTCTTCTAATTTGTCTTTGTGAATAAATGATCCTCAGTGTAAATTGAAGAACACTCCTTTAATTGTGTCCATCCTGTTAAACTGAAGAAAGGAGAGTTGGTAGCCACTCGGGACTCATTTTAATTTTGTGACTGCTGAATGTGGAGAGAAGAAAGGCAAACATCACTCGGGTCAAATTGATTCTGGTTGACTAGGTTTAAAGGGAACGGCCTTCAACAAGCTGCAGAGAGAGCAGTGCTGTATTGTATGTGTATTTTTTGCTTTTGTTTTAGGTTTATCAGTGTTCTTTATATATTACAAAATCATATCAATGGGTTTTACAGCCTGTATAGCATGCAGCCCTCTGTGTTTAGATTTTTCATTTTTAGTAACAGCTATTGGACTTGTTGATCTGATCTGTCAGCCTATATATGATATAAAAATACCTTACTGACTGCATTGGCTGTGCTGCTGTTTGTAAAGACTTATACTGACCTTTCCCGACTCATTAAAGTCATTGTAAAGCCTTGTTTCAATGGAGACGGGTTTTTGTTCATACAGTAAGAATTATATTTAAAAATCAGTACATGCCATTGATTACATTCTGCGTTCCTTCCCTTCTCAACTGATATTAATGCCTCTCCATTGGTTGATTGATTTCTTCTGTGTGAGGTGCAAGCCCCTGATGGAGGCTTTATCACGCTTTCCACAGCATTTATGACTCGGTGTCAGCTAATGGCTTACGGTGTACACTGCTGTTCTTAGGACAGGATATAGCTGACGCTGATGCATTTGTTCAGTCAGTCGCTGTTAAAAATGCCACATGTTCTTAAATGGGACATGAACAGCTTCATTTTGTTCTGCTCATGCCAATAAATCAACAAAAACTGTTTCGTTTTTTCTACCCCTATCACAATTATGCTAAAATTCAAAAGCCTGTTTTGATCCAAATCTTACACTTCCTTATTTTCTTCCAACAGAAAACCCCTCTTTTAGTAAGGAAACACATACCACAAAAGCTGAAAGTGATTCAGTGCTGTGCTCAAAGACGCACAGCTACTTACTGCTGATTGTAACCAGGCCCATGGTCATTAAATCACCTTGTTGCCCATTTTCCATCATTCCATTTCTTTATATTCAGTCACTTTGATTGTTCACGATGTGGTTATTAATGGGCTTACAGGCCTGCTCCTTACTAACTGAAGGCTTTAGGGACAAAAATGGGTAAAGTTCCAGCTTTTCAAATGTAAAGATGTGCTACTGTTCTTTGTCATGTATGAATGTACGCTGATTGTCTTTGGGTTTTTGACCGTTAACTTGGCCGAAACAAGCAATTTGAAGCGGTCTCTGTAGAGGCAAGTGCCTTGGTTAAAGGTAATTAACTGCTAAACATATAGTTATATGGCTGTATTCAATACATAAAATGTATTTCTATCGTTGTAATAGCACAACCTTCAGCTTGTCTTTCACTGGTGGACTACAGAAAAGTGTGGTATTCATGTTGTAGTAATTTTGGTATTTTATATACAAAACAAATAATTTACCACTCAAGAAAATGATTAGTAGATATACATTTTAAATAACTGATATCCCTACTTGACTCCATATCAACTTTGGATTTTAGAAATAACTTTATAACTATGTTGGAGATTAATCTGCTCTACTGTGTTGTAGGGCATCATTGACACTCTAATGACAGAGAACCAACAGTCTGTTTTGTTTTTGTTTTTTTTTATCAAAAAACCTTTTTTTGGAAGGGAACTACCCATGTATGCAGTAATGGGACAAACATTACAACACTGCATTCATCTGATAGATGCTCACTCAGTGGCTTTCTCAAGGTCACTTCCACATCTGTACAGTGGGAGTTGGAGATTGAACCATCAGTTTTACTATGAATGGCTGATCCTCTGTACGGCCTAAGCTACCTACTGTAAATGATACATTCGGGCCACATATGGCTGAAACACAAAGACACTATAGATCAAAATATTTCTAACAGCTACATTTTAATGTTTGATTAACTGGAAACGTACAGTATGCCCTCAGTGCAAGTGAAGAACATTAAATGAGTCTGACAGCTCCTGACTTGGGCTTGTTCTATAAAAATAAACTATACTGTAAAATGATGAGAGTGAATTTGATGAAGAATCCAATAAGTTACAGGTTCATGAGGGGGTAAGAAAGTGGGACCATACAAAAGCAACAAAATGAAACTCAACCACAAAAGAACATTTACAGGATATAACTAAAGTGCATTATGGAATTTAGTCAGCAGCACCGTGATCACACAGTTCACAAAATAAATACACACTTTCAAAGTGAAATAAATTATGCCAGAACAGTTTGAACAGATGTATTCATTGAAATTTGTCTGTAACTGTAAGTCCACGATAGCCAACACATACAGTATAGAGCCAAACAAAAGTAGAAGACTCAGCATCCCATTTTTTGTCATGTTACATTATATTCAGGCAATAAATATTTCCTCTGGTACTCTATTTGTGTGCATAGCTGGTTAGCAATGACAACATGTAGCGCTCTTTTGAAGTACACCACGGTTACAGAGTCGTAAAGAGCTTCCAAATAAATAGCTAAGAAAATGCTACGATGAAACTCCAGAAAGTATGAGATTGTGTTAAAATACAAAGACGGAAAAATATTATTGTACAAGCACAACCCCGGGGCCTTGATATGAAATGACTGAGTCAGCCATTGTTCAAGTCTGTCTGTCAGACCTCAGTCTAGCTGACCCTGTGTCAGCGTCTTAGGGCAGTACCATATAAAGGCTGTTGGGAGTTTCTTAGCCAGTGTACCGCATACTTCATGGCTCATTTGTTGTGACAGACCGTGCTCGCCTCCGCTTCTTGTCATTCTCTCTGCGGCGGCCTGACCTCACTTTCTTTTTCCTCTTGGTGGCCAATTTTAGAGGCTGGTCCTGATAAGCCAGAGCTTTGTTGGTCTCCTGGGGCAGGTTAGGGCCCTCCTCGTCCAGCTGAAGCCTGTCAGGGAGGTTCTTAGTGGCACCTGGGGGCTTTTGGTACAGGGCATTCCCACTGAAGGTTTGGCTTGGGGTTCTGCTCTCCACAGGTGGCGTTCGCTCATCAGCTGTGTGCACCTCCTCCAGCAGCTGCTGCAGCCACAGACGACGCTTGAACTCCTGCTGGGATCGGCCCTTGTCATGCATCAACTGGGCGTGGCTCACGGACCTCCTCCTTATAGGAAAAAATGACAGTCAGGTGATGTAGTTAATACAGGAAGAGGTTACATAAAAGTTAATAACATCTTACAGCTGCATTATACATGAAAGGGGACCAGTACTAAATTCACCTTTTTTTTTTATTCTGTCTTAAATCTGTCAGATTTCTCTTTGCTTGCCCGTGAGACACTTTGACTTGAATTCCAGATTTTGGAGACAACAAAACTAATATTGTCTTTGTTATACTTTCACTATATTCATCACTGTGGTTCATTAGACGTGTCACACACACTAAACTAAAATGGTGAATAAGGTAAACTCAAACATCTTTTTGTTTTAATCCATGCTGTAATTTCATGTAACACCACTGTGTTCAGTTTGTATGTGGAAGCAGACTTAAAGTGTTGGTAACTGAAATTTAAGGTCAGGCTTCAAGGAGCCACAGTACAGTAGATGGCAGCATAAACAAATTTCTGATGCCCATCACTAGTCTGCACTCAAGACACCAACAAGCTGAAAGCTGAAATAAAGAAAGAGAACTTTGAATCTATAATTGTTTTAAAATCAGGAAACAGGAATCTTTCAAACATTTTGATGCATCATGTTCAATCATGAATTAGTCCTTTCTTTCTGAAGTTCTTTATTTCATAGCACTGAATAAGTTTTATATGCTTTTCAAAGGTAATATAATATAGAACTCACATTCTGCTGCTAGGTACATCATCTGGTCTACCATCAAGAGTCACTGGGGAGCACAGCAAGAACACAGTCAGACTCCACTGATGAAGCATGACCACAGAGCACATCCTTGAGCCAAAGATCTGAAGAATACAAAAAAAATCACTTTAATTAATTAATCAAAACTTTGTTTCATGACTTAATATTAAATCCTATACCTTCAATTCAACAGTTATTTTTAGTAGCAGAGTAGATAGTTGATATATCAATACACAGTGTATCCAGGTGACATAACTTGTGCATTAAGAAGTTTTTAAAGTAAAGAAGAAACTTAGACTTACATGGTGTTTTTGTTTTTTTTTACAGTAAAAATCCACAAAGGTCAGTCTGCAAGCTCTTTAGAGATAATCTTGTTGCAAGGATTAATTTACAAAACAAAAACTATTCTATCAAATCCAGTTTGTCTGTTTCAGAAATTGTGTCCAGATCCATTGGTGTGAAAGCAGCCTGGGAAATCCCCTGTCGTTCTGCTTCATTCATTTGCCTCCCAACAGTGTGTGTCGAGCTATTTATTTCTCTCTAGCGTCCCAACTAAAAGAGAGATAAAGATAGAAAGGGCAGCAGACCCATCAGCTGCAGAGCTGCCACTTCACTCAGTCCTGCATTAATCTCATGAAGAGTAAGGCTGAAGCATCTCCTCTGTTGGCCGGAGCTGAGAACGTTTTTCAGTCCAACGCTGTGAGTGAGCCTGTGTGAGTCTGTCTGAGCGAGGCACAGAGAGAAAGTCGAGCTCCACTTTGGGTGAAGATGCAGGCACTACCTTAGCCCATACCCATTAAGTCCAGTACACCCAACCCACACCTCTCTCCCTCCCCTGAACCCTTCACACACACCTGCTGTGACAAGAAGGTGGTGCCCATATAGCATCCAACCCAACATACCTCAAAGGGTATACTAAACATAGCTGGGGGGAAAATTTTAATCACTTTCAAATGATTTTAGATGTCAAAGCCTATTAATAATTTCATCTTAAAGAGGTCAGGAATGACAGGTGTGCACCATTGAAAGTAATCGTAGGTTTCCAAGCAGAAAGCGTACAGTATAAAGGGAGGGGCAGGGTTACTCCAAAGTAAACAGCCAGGTCTAACCACTTTCCCAGGGGAGAATGACCATGACCTCAGCCCACAGCCTCTCACTGCAGACCATTCAATTCACCTCTACTCTGCCTCAGCAAACCAGCTGACCGCCGATGGTTAAAGTGGGCTTTGAGGTATCTCTTATATTCAGCTAATAAGGAAAGTGGGGGGCTTTGCACCAAGACAGCTGTACACATTCCCAGGTTGTTGACCCGAGTCTTAAGCATCCAGCCAAATTTTTAATTTTACTGAAAACATTCAGCAGTTGGAGAGATAGCTCTGCTCCGTAGCTTAACAGTGCCTTTTAGCATAACAAACTGATGCTCTAAATGTCTATTTATATTGTGATTATGGTTCCAGCCAGACCTATAAATTCTTTGTAACTGTCTAAAATGTGACTTTTAATTGGTCTATAATTTGGAGTTAATTGCTTTAGAAATAAATACTTTTTGTTTTAATAATGGGTAGCAGACATGGAGCATTTATTCATAATTTCAATGAAATTATGATGACATTTTAATGTTATTGATAAAGAACTGATTGGTCATCCTTTTAAAATTATTTTTGCAAATGAAGATGTAAAAACAAGGAGATTCATTCATAATTGAACAGGACTAAGAGTTTGCAGGTACACCACGGCTTCCAACTTGTAATTTGATTTATAGTGTTTAGCTCTTCTACAAAATCCTTTCCTCTTAGTGTGACCTAATCTAGCTAGTGATCATGGCTGTGTCAGTTAGTTAAAATAGTTTACAAGTGCTCAAGCTTAAATATAACAAGGTTGTAAATGGTTTAGATGAGTCTCCAAGATGATGGCTAATATCCCAGACAGCCTCTGTAGTCTCATTTAGCCATTTGTTAGCAACTGCTTTTTTTAAGCCATGTAGAAGCATTAAAAATCACGTGGGTTATTTACTGATGTATTTTATTTCAGTATGGCACACACCTAGTACCATGTGAGCGTGTTCTAGAGTTTGTTCAGTGTTATCTCACTGTATAATGTAATTGTACCTGAATGAAAGAACAGTTGATATGAAAATGCATATTACTACTCAGAGTGCTCATGAGAGTGCCCCAGTTGTGGTTAAACTCAGCTTGGGTCTGGCAGCAGATTGTTCTCAACCCTGGTAAATGTTCCTGTGTTTCATTTCTGGGTCATGAACCCTAACTTGAATCATCACTGCAGAATAGTTCAGTGAGTGCATTTTACATTCTGTCTCTGTACAAACTACCGATATCCTCTTTGCTGTACTTAAAACTGTTTTCATCTGTCACAATTCATTAGACTTGGTTTTTGTTTGTTTTTCTTTTTAGCCATGCTAGTGATTTGGCTCATAGAGGTGGCAGTGTCAGTCTACCCCTTTGGTTCAGACTGAAGTGTCTCAGCAACTATTGGATGGATTGCCATGAATTTGTTACACACAATCACATTTCCCTCGGGATAATTTGTTCTACAAGTATGAAAATGTGTTGCATGTAAGTGTTAGGCCTTTGTGTTATGTGTGATTGGAGAAAGTGTTGTGTTTTAACCAGTATATCTTAACTGTGTGTCTACTCCTTGGATGGAATTGCCTCAGGGTGCAAATAATATTAACAGTAGCCAGTAGTTATTCAGTCTATTTTAATTACCTGTCATCTGTTATCATCCTGAGACTGATTAGGCAAGGAATGCTATTTTCAAACATAAGATTAGTCATTTTTTTATATTTTTAGCATTTTCAACACTGCCCATACAGAAACTAAAACCAACAATACATGCCTCTACTCATGGTTAACATATGCCAGTCTGCAGCCTGTGCCTTTGTTGATTAAAAGCACATCAGCCAAGCACACCGCTGCATTGGGTGAAATATTTCTTCATGACAAAACACAATACCAGAATATTTACTAAAAATGTTGCCCCAAAAGTTTCAAACACTCATAGGTTTTACACCATCTGAAGTTGGCAGGAGTCAGCTGCTCCTATTTTTAGGAACTCATTGTTAAACTGTTAGTGTAATTGTTAAGATTCAAAATCCTGAATTATTTGTGGCTATTATACTTACATGCAGTATTTTACTTATTACTAAGTTGTGTTTATTTTTAATGTATATTGTTAATCACACTGTACAGCACTTTGGTCCGTTTCAGTTGTTTTAGTGCTTTATAAATAAAGTTTGTATGGTATGGTATGGTATGGTATGGTACTACATGGAATAACTTGCATTGCTCCTCATTAATTACACACAAAATATTTCTGTGAGTAGTGATGATTAGCAGAATCACTGCAGGCTAGACTGTAGAACGGTTTGGGGTAAACTACTTAATAGAAGGCTTAGTATTTTACAAGCAGTCATCATGATTCAGTTCTGCAAGAGGTCCAGAAAGGGTTTAAGGCTGAGACAAATACATGGCAGACCCCCCTTGCTGTAATAATTTCAGCTTTCTTCTGTTTCCAGTGAGTCTACCCCTAACTTACAACACTTTTAACATTCTGTGGGGAAAAATACCTCACTTGATTCCATTCTGCAAAGACTTTACCTGCAAAAAAGTCCCATTTCCTGGCAGACATTAGCGTATGGAATGGGAGCCAGGAAAGCTGCTTTTGATTCATGCTAAATTGCACTCTCAACACAGAACAGTATTCCTATCCGTTTTTCATCCTTTTCACACTACACCTACTTCACATTCACACATACTGAACATAGAGTATACTGTACCCACCCCAGTATAAAAGAATTTGTACCCTCCTGTTCCAAGCAGCTAACTCATACACACTGCATCCAGAGAAACGCCCTCATTTCATCTATAAATTCAGGGTTCAGCATCTATTTGTGGTTATGTTGTACCTATTAACTGTATTGGCCCACCCTATTATGTCATAAATCCTGGCGTTAGCTATAACCCCTGGCTTTAGTTACAGCAGCAGTTCCTGCTTTTGTTATAGAGTCACATTCACAGTCATTATGTACTTGGCGTGTACATTACAATTCTGTCTGTGCCAGTAAGTCAGTGTTAATTCCCACACAAGTCGCACACTGACGCTGTCAGCATCCTCTGTTATTTTATTACTGTTTCACAGCACCACTCCCCTTTAACTCTGAACACTGTTCCTGCTTTAAGAGAAATTTGAACAGTGTAGCCAAATGAAAGCTGGTAAATCATCCAGTACAAGAAACAGTCCAGTTTCTGCTGAACATGACATTCAGCAAACCTGTATAATACTTAATGTCATCTGTAACCATATACTGTATTTAGCTGTAAAGAATCAATGAAATCAGAAGTTTTACAATAGGGCTGCACAATAAATCATTCCTTGAGCATGATTTAGATCCCTGTGCAATCTCAGTCTCATGATAGTGATTCTGTCATGTTTGCATTAGCAGTGAGATCTCTTGCAGCAAACCAAGCACTCCCTTTTCCTCGCTAAGCTGCAATTAACCAATAGAAGGAATGCGTTACATCACGTGACAAGCTGTAGACAGGACGAGAAGACTGATTCAAAAGCAAATCCAACATGTTTGACCTTGTGAAAGATGTTCTGTGCACTCCTGCAACTATTTTTTACACGACATGCCCTATACACCTAGTGCCGAATAGTAGAAAAAAAATCACTTTGCAATCATTGATGAATGCTTAGTTTGATGCAAGGGATCTCACTGCTAATGCAAACATGGCAGAGTCATTGCCATGTGAGACTGAGATCACGCGGGGATATAAATCACCCTCACAAAACAATTAATCGTGCAGCCCTGTTTTACAGTATAGGCCTATTGATAATTGTCTTTATAGTGCAGTCAGCCCTGTGATGGGTTGTCCATTTGTTCTCATGAGAAGTTCAGGCTTGTTTTCCTAGAAAACCTTATATGAATAATGACTTAAACTTACTTTTCCCTCTTAATGTTTTTTTTTTCTTAACGGTGAGTTACTGTGTGAGGGCCATGTCGGTTAGTTCATTTGAGGCATGGTTTATAATGTCTTATTGTGGGCAGCTGCTAATCATTCACACCTCCCAATCATGACTGTCATCCCAGGAATGCTCTTTATTACTCTTTACTTTCTTGTGCTTCAGCTTGGCTACCAAGACAGCATGTTATTAATAAAAACTCAGGAGGCAACAGAGGTAAATTTTGCAGCCTGTTTTCTTTTTGGTTGGTGGTTTATTTGTGCCTAAAATGTCACTTTTTCACTAGCTGATTTTATTTATTTATTTATTTATTCAAGAAACCTGAAGACAAACACTCGACAGTGACATGAAATCAGCAGTTCAATAATTTAGAAAAACGGCTAATGTTGTTCATTTCTCACATTTTACTATAAAAGATTCATGTTTAATATAACATTTTACATTCCATTATATTTCATACAAGTTCATTTCCATTTTTTAAGTACATTTTTCCAATAGCAGTTCCAGACCATTAGGTTTTGTGCCACAATGCACAATGGACAGTTTAGCCAGGATGTCAGGAAAGGGTTGGTGCTTCACACTCTAAGAGGAGCATGTCCTGAATATGACCCAATTCCTGTTCAGGGTTACCCAAACATGGCCTTCCTCATTATGCATTCATTTGATCTAAAAGCAACTGCAAGATTGCTCTTTGTTTCTGCTGCTTTTGACACATGCTAATCCTCCTCAGGTAGCACTTTGGGCCCGATTTCTTAT